TGTTCTCGTCAAACGATGATGCGTTTGTTGAAACTGAAATAACGAAGCTAATGCTATTATTGTTTTTATATCATATTATTGTTATTGCTGTTTTGATTATTGTTATTTTTTGTTATTATGTTATTGTTTTTTTGTGATATGGTGTTATTGTCGTTTCAGATTTGTGTTATTTTTTGTCATTTCGGGTCGTAAGTTATACTCGATCAAGTCATTTTCAATTTTTTCCTTTTTTCTTCGGACAGGACACGGAGTCGATTTCTTTCGGATCTCCTGGGTGCTGGAGCTGGCAAGGTGGAGTATTTTATTTTTTCTTGGGTCGATTTACATGCATAGAATTGTTACCTTTGATAATACACTCGGTCATTTGCTCTGTGTGGTTTTGTATCGCTTTTGTATCTCTGTGTCTGTCTCTGTTTTTCTGTTTTTTTTTCTGTCTTTCTCTCTTTCTTTCTTTCTGTCTGTCTCTCTATCTGTCTCTGTCTGTCTGTCTGTCTGTCTGTCTCTCTCTCTCTCTCCTCGCCTCTCTTTCTCTCGTTAATTTATCCTATCTGTCTGTTTCTTCCCAAAACGCATAGAAACCGGTTACAACAACCACGAAACTAAAACATCACCTTTTTTAACCTCTTCCCCCACCTTCGTCAGGCGACGTATGGAACATCAACAAGGACAGCCTAAGTGACAAGGATACCTTCCACCGGGCTGAGCAAATAGACTTCAGTGACGTCGACCTCACCAGCAGCTCCGAGGGCAGATACTCATCTCTGGCAGACCTCTATCTGGGCTACAGCGTTGCTAACATTACGTACGCCAGTAAGCCTGCTATTGTGTCTGCCATGCCTCGGCCTATCTCCACGCATGACCTGAGGGTAGAGGAGAAGGTGAGCGTACAGGGTTACTTGTGGGTTTGATGCAGATTCTGGCTTCGTGTCGTGTTTCGTTTGTTTATTTTATTTTGTCGGTAGCGCGCGCGAGTGTTCGAATCCGGAACCGATGGTTTGAGATTAAGAGGAAAGGCTTTCGATGCCAGAAAAAAGTTCTTTGAAAGATGGCACCGTTCTAGCGAGGGAGTTCGTGACGTAAAACCGAATTCGATCAGCACATATTTTTTAGTGTTTTTACTTGCGTGATAAGTGTATTCCGTTAATGGTCTTGATATGAGTCATGTATCTAAACATACGACGAAATGATATTAAACCTGTCATTAGCTATAATAATACTTACCAATAGATGGGTGACCCCAAGAAATTAAATATGTAGTATGGGCACGATGAATATATTAATGATATATCTAAAATATACGTGATTTGCACCTCATAATTTTATACATAACATATTTGCAATTATTCCCTTCAAGTCACACAAGGTTAGTGCTGGTTCTAATACATTTATCTAAAAAAAGTTATATCATATATCGGTTTATCATCACAATTTTTATTCTTGCTTTATTGTCTTAATTATATCAGCGAAAAGAAATTTAGCTGCCGTTTTCTTCTATGAACTATATCGAACTCTACTATACTATGATCATTCAGAACTATACTTAATCATAAGTTAGGAAGTTGCATTGGCAATGAACTTCTAACCCTCTAAGTACTGATAATATTTAAATAAAAGTTTCGTGACATATCAGTTTATCAGTGACTTAACTAAAGGATATGTTTATCAGTCAACTTATCACTTGGAGGGGTGTAAAATGTGTTAGTCTTATTACTGAATGAATTTCATAGGATTTTCAAGACCTGTCACTCTCTTCTGCCATGTTTTCACTACCTGTTTGACGCCAACATTATTTTCAATGTAATATCTATTATATTTATCTTTGACTGTGTATAAAAGGATAGGTTTTAATGTGTTTGGTATGATTTATAATAAGTATTATTATTTTTACAGATTTTCGCGTCTATTCACTGTTTTTTTATTCATAGAATTCACTGATTTTTTCCTTTTATAGAGTTAATTTTTCCACAATTTTCACTTTTTCTATTCACAAAATTCACAATTTTTTTCATTTACAGAATTCACTGATTTTTTCATTCACATAATTCACTATTTTTTTCTCTTAATTTTTTCACATAGATTTTTTTTACAAAATTCACTTTTTAATTCACAAAATTAACTTATTTTTTAATTCATTTTTTCACACAGATTTCACTCTTTTCATTCACAAAATTCACTTTTTTTCCTTCACAGAATTCCTTTTTTTCATTCACAGAATTCACTTATTTTTTCCTTCCCAGAATTCACAATTTAGTTTTCATTCGCAGAGTAGCGTGTTTGGTCCAATGATCCTGATTTTCGAAAATGGCCAAGAGAAACTGAAAGTGTTGGACACCATTAAACCACCATTAAACCAGGTCTGTTCAGTTTTTCCTTCTTCTTCTTCTTCTTCTCCTTCTCCTTCTTCTTCTCCTTTTTCTCCTTCTTCTTCTTCTTCTTCTCCTTCTTCTTCTTCTTCTCCTCTTTCTTCTTCTTCTCCTCTTTCTTCTTCTTCTCCTCTTTCTTCTTCTTCTCCTTCTCCTTCTCCTTTTTCTCCTTCTTCTTCTTCTTCTCCTTCTTCTTCTTCTTCTCTTTACCTGTATGTCTTCTCTCTCTTGCGTGTTTTTCTCTTCCTTTGTATGTCTTGTTTTTTTTTTTTACTTGTAATTTCTTTTTATGTGTTTGTATTTTCTTTCTTGTATTTTCTTTCTCTTTTTCTTTCTTTCATTTTTTCTGTCTCTGTCTGTCTATCTGTTTCTCTCTCTCTTTATATATATATATATATATATATATATATATATATATATATATATATATATATATTTATATATATGTATATATATATGTATAGATATATATACATACATAGATATATATTTTTCTCTCTCTTTTCTCTCTCTCTCTCTCTTTCTCTCTCTCCCTTCCTCCCTCCCCCCCTCTCTCTCTGTCTTTTCATCTTCTGTTTCCTTTACCTCCCTCGTTTTCTCTTCTTCCGTCTGCAGATCTATATATTTTCCTTTCAATGTCTCTTCTCCCCCCTTCCTCCTCTCTGTCTGCCTATTTGTATTAGTCTCAGTCTCTTGTCTGTCTGTCTGTCTCTCTCTCTGTCTCTCTCTATCTCTCATTCTCTCTCTCTGTCTCTCTCTATCTCTCATTCTCTCTCTCTGTCACTCTCTGTCTCTCATTCTCTCTCTCCCTGTCTGTCTGTCTGCCTCTCTCTCTATCTCTCATTCTCTCTCTCCGTCACTCTCTATCTCTCGTTCTCTCTCTCCCTGTCTGTCTGTCTGCCTCTCTCTCTCTCTCTCTTCCCTCTTTCCACCCATTTCCTTATCAGTTCTGCCAATACTGAACCACAGTATCCGAACACGCCATCAACATGTCCCAGTACACTCTATCCCTTCTATTCCCAGTCTAGCAACTTCGAAGCCACCAAGGAAAGTATGTTCTCCTACTTCGGGTACTCGCTGACGGCTGCTGACGTGGACGGCGACGGGTTGGATGACCTGGTGGTGGGGGCGCCTTTGTACCATAACAGCTCGCATCACGACCAGGGTGCTGTGTTTGTGTACATGCAGAAGAAATTCCCTTCTGGAGGCGACGGAGCTATGGAGACGGAGGTGGGTAGGCTATCGGAAAAGGTGGCAAAGAGATGTCCGATTTGTTTTTTTCTTTTCTTTTCTTTTCTTTGTTCTTGGTTTCTTGTTCAGGATCTGATATCTTTTTTTTTTCCTTTTTTTTGTTTGGTTTCTTTCGGTCTCTCTCGATGTCTATTTGTGTCCTCTTTCACTCTCTTTTTTATATTAATATATTTTATCATTATTTTTTCATTTTTTCATTTTTTCATTTTTACTTTACTTACCTACAGCGCTTGTGTAGTTCCCATATATTCTCTTTACGATTCTCTATCACTTCATCTCGATTTCTCTTCTGTTCTTCATCTTTTCCCCTCCTATGGATGAAAGCGAAACAGGCGACAAACCAACCAACAAAAAAAAAAAACATGAAACAGAAACAAAAAAATGGTGAAACGAATGAAGGAGGCCAGATGAAACAGACCAGAGACAGGGACAGGGAAGAGATAAAATAGGTAAAAGGAGATCAAGTGAAAAAAATACAAAAAAACAGTAAAAAAAAAAGAAAGAAAATTCACGAATAAAAACAAATAAAAAAAGGGAAGAGGTAAAACAAATCAAACAAATCAAATGAAACGAATAAAAAGGAACCAGAGTACGAAAAGGGGAAAAAGATCTTTAAACCACTCCATCTTTCTATCTTTTTTATTTTTATTCAGATGAAACTTGAAAGCGGTTCTCCGTCTCGAATGGGCCAAGAATCCTACGGTCGCTTCGGCAGCTGCGTGGCCTCCGTCGGCGACCTCGACGGCGATGGATTCCAAGGTACTTATTAACCATCCTAGGTATTTATTAACCATCCTAGGTACTTATTAACCATCCTAGTTACTTATTAACCATCCTAGGTACTTATTAACCATCCTAGGTACTTATTAACCATCCTAGGTACTTATTAACCATCCTAGGTACTTATTAACCATCCTAGGTACTTATTAACCATCCTAGTTACTTATTAACCATACGAGGTACACATTAACCATCCTAGTTATTTATTAACCATCCAAGGTACTTATTAACCATCCTAGGTATTTATAAACCGTCCAAGGTACTTATTAACCATCCTAGGTACTTATTAACATCCAAGGTACTTATTAACCATCCAGGTACTTATTAACCATCTAGGTACTTATTAACCATCCAGGTACTTATTAACCATCCAAGGTACTTATTAACCATCCAAGGTACTTATTAACCATCCAGGTACTTATTAACCATCCTAGGTATTTATAAACCGTCCAAGGTACTTATTAACCATCCAAGGTACTTATTAACCATCCTAGGTATTTATAAACCGTCCAAGGTACTTATTAACCATCCAGGTACTTATTAACCATCCAGGTACTTATTAACCATCCAGGTACTTATTAACCATCCCAGGTACTTGTTAACCATCCAAGGTACTTATTAACCATCCTAGGTACTTATTAACCATCCCAGGTACTTGTTAACCATCCAAGGTACTTATTAACCATCCTAGGTACTTATTAACCATCCTAGGTACTTATTAACCATCCCAGGTACTTGTTAACCATCCAAGGTACTTATTAACCATCCAGGTACTTATTAACCATCCTAGGTACTTATTAACCATCCAAGGTACTTATTAACCATCCAAGGTACTTATTAACCATCCAGGTACTTATTAACCATCCAAGGTACTTATTAACATCCAAGGTACTTATTAACCATCCAGGTACTTATTAACCATCCTAGGTATTTATAAACCGTCCAAGGTACTTATTAACCATCCTAGGTATTTATAAACCGTCCAAGGTACTTATTAACCATCCAAGGTACTTATTAACCATCCTAGGTATTTATAAACCGTCCAAGGTACTTATTAACCATCTAAGGTATATATTAACCATCCAAGGTACTTATTAACCATCCTAGGTATTTATAAACCGTCCAAGGTACTTATTAACCATCCTAGGTATTTATAAACCGTCCAAGGTACTTATTAACCATCCAAGGTACTTATTAACCATCCTAGGTATTTATAAACCGTCCAAGGTACTTATTAACCATCCTAGGTACTTATTAACCATCCCAGGTACTTGTTAACCATCCAAGGTACTTATTAACCATCCTAGGTATTTATAAACCGTCCAAGGTACTTATTAACCATCCCAGGTACTTGTTAACCATCCAAGGTACTTATTAACCATCCCAGGTACTTGTTAACCATCCAAGGTACTTATTAACCATCCAGGTACTTATTAACCATCCCAGGTACTTGTTAACCATCCAAGGTACTTATTAACCATCCAAGGTACTTATTAACCATCTAAGGTATATATTAACCATCCAAGGTACTTATTAACCATCCAAGGTACTTATTAACCATCCAAGGTACTTATTAACCATCCAAGGTACTTATTAACCATCCAAGGTACTTATTAACCATCCAGGTACTTATTAACCATCCTAGGTATTTATAAACCGTCCAAGGTACTTATTAACCATCCTAGGTACTTATTAACCATCCAAGGTACTTATTAACCATCCAAGGTACTTATTAACCATCCAAGGTACTTATTAACCATCCAAGGTACTTATTAACCATCCAGGTACTTATTAACCATCCCAGGTACTTGTTAACCATCCAAGGTACTTATTAACCATCCAGGTACTTATTAACCATCCTAGGTATTTATAAACCGTCCAAGGTACTTATTAACCATCCAAGGTACTTATTAACATCCAAGGTACTTATTAACCATCCTAGGTATTTATAAACCGTCCAAGGTACTTATTAACCATCCAGGTACTTATTAACCATCCCAGGTACTTGTTAACCATCCAAGGTACTTATTAACCATCCTAGGTATTTATAAACCGTCCAAGGTACTTATTAACCATCCCAGGTACTTGTTAACCATCCAAGGTACTTATTAACCATCCTAGGTATTTATAAACCGTCCAAGGTACTTATTAACCATCCAAGGTACTTATTAACCATCCTAGGTATTTATAAACCGTCCAAGGTACTTATTAACCATCCAAGGTACTTATTAACCATCCAGGTACTTATTAACCATCCTAGGTATTTATAAACCGTCCAAGGTACTTATTAACCATCCTAGGTATTTATAAACCGTCCAAGGTACTTATTAACATCCAAGGTACTTATTAACCATCCAGGTACTTATTAACCATCCTAGGTACTTATTAACCATCCTAGGTATTTATAAACCGTCCAAGGTACTTATTAACCATCCAGGTACTTATTAACCATCCTAGGTATTTATAAACCGTCCAAGGTACTTATTAACCATCCAGGTACTTATTAACCATCCAGGTACTTATTAACCATCCAAGGTACTTATTAACCATCCAAGGTACTTATTAACCATCCAAGGTACTTATTAACCATCCAGGTACTTATTAACCATCCAAGGTACTTATTAACCATCCTAGGTATTTATAAACCGTCCAAGGTACTTATTAACCATCCAAGGTACTTATTAACCATCCTAGGTATTTATAAACCGTCCAAGGTACTTATTAACCATCCTAGGTATTTATAAACCGTCCAAGGTACTTATTAACCATCCAGGTACTTATTAACCATCCTAGGTATTTATAAACCGTCCAAGGTACTTATTAACCATCCAAGGTACTTATTAACCATCCAAGGTACTTATTAACCATCCAGGTACTTATTAACCATCCCAGGTACTTGTTAACCATCCAAGGTACTTATTAACCATCCAAGGTACTTATTAACCATCCTAGGTATTTATAAACCGTCCAAGGTACTTATTAACCATCCAAGGTACTTATTAACCATCCTAGGTATTTATAAACCGTCCAAGGTACTTATTAACCATCCAAGGTACTTATTAACCATCCTAGGTATTTATAAACCGTCCAAGGTACTTATTAACCATCCAAGGTACTTATTAACCATCCAAGGTACTTATTAACCATCCTAGGTATTTATAAACCGTCCAAGGTACTTATTAACCATCCAAGGTACTTATTAACCATCCCAGGTACTTGTTAACCATCCAAGGTACTTATTAACCATCCAGGTACTTATTAACCATCCTAGGTATTTATAAACCGTCCAAGGTACTTATTAACCATCCAAGGTACTTATTAACCATCCTAGGTATTTATAAACCGTCCAAGGTACTTATTAACCATCCAGGTACTTATTAACCATCCCAGGTACTTGTTAACCATCCAAGGTACTTATTAACCATCCTAGGTATTTATAAACCGTCCAAGGTACTTATTAACCATCCAAGGTACTTATTAACCATCCAGGTACTTATTAACCATCCTAGGTATTTATAAACCGTCCAAGGTACTTATTAACATCCAAGGTACTTATTAACCATCCTAGGTATTTATAAACCGTCCAAGGTACTTATTAACCATCCAGGTACTTATTAACCATCCAGGTACTTATTAACCATCCTAGGTATTTATAAACCGTCCAAGGTACTTATTAACCATCCAAGGTACTTATTAACATCCAAGGTACTTATTAACCATCCTAGGTATTTATAAACCGTCCAAGGTACTTATTAACCATCCAAGGTACTTATTAACCATCCAGGTACTTATTAACCATCCTAGGTATTTATAAACCGTCCAAGGTACTTATTAACCATCCTAGGTATTTATAAACCGTCCAAGGTACTTATTAACCATCCTAGGTATTTATAAACCGTCCAAGGTACTTATTAACCATCCTAGGTACTTATTAACCATCCCAGGTACTTGTTAACCATCCAAGGTACTTATTAACCATCTAAGGTATATATTAACCATCCAAGGTACTTATTAACCATCCCAGGTACTTGTTAACCATCCAAGGTACTTATTAACCATCCAAGGTACTTATTAACCATCCAAGGTACTTATTAACCATCCAGGTACTTATTAACCATCCAGGTACTTATTAACCATCCTAGGTATTTATAAACCGTCCAAGGTACTTATTAACCATCCTAGGTATTTATAAACCGTCCAAGGTACTTATTAACCATCCAAGGTACTTATTAACCATCCCAGGTACTTGTTAACCATCCAAGGTACTTATTAACCATCCTAGGTATTTATAAACCGTCCAAGGTACTTATTAACCATCCTAGGTATTTATAAACCGTCCAAGGTACTTATTAACCATCCAGGTACTTATTAACCATCCTAGGTATTTATAAACCGTCCAAGGTACTTATTAACCATCCTAGGTACTTATTAACCATCCTAGGTATTTATAAACCGTCCAAGGTACTTATTAACCATCCAAGGTACTTATTAACCATCCTAGGTATTTATAAACCGTCCAAGGTACTTATTAACCATCCAAGGTACTTATTAACCATCCAAGGTACTTATTAACCATCCAAGGTACTTATTAACCATCCAAGGTACTTATTAACCATCCTAGGTATTTATAAACCGTCCAAGGTACTTATTAACCATCCTAGGTATTTATAAACCGTCCAAGGTACTTATTAACCATCCAGGTACTTATTAACCATCCCAGGTACTTGTTAACCATCCAAGGTACTTATTAACCATCCAGGTACTTATTAACCATCCTAGGTACTTATTAACCATCCTAGGTATTTATAAACCGTCCAAGGTACTTATTAACCATCCTAGGTACTTATTAACCATCCTAGGTACTTATTAACCATCCTAGGTATTTATAAACCGTCCAAGGTACTTATTACCATCCAAGGTACTTATTAACCATCCTAGGTATTTATAAACCGTCCAAGGTACTTATTAACCATCCAGGTACTTATTAACCATCCTAGGTATTTATAAACCGTCCAAGGTACTTATTAACCATCCTAGGTATTTATAAACCGTCCAAGGTACTTATTAACCATCCTAGGTACTTATTAACCATCCTAGGTACTTATTAACCATCCTAGGTATTTATAAACCGTCCAAGGTACTTATTAACCATCCAGGTACTTATTAACCATCCTAGGTACTTATTAACCATCCTAGGTACTTATTAACCATCCTAGGTATTTATAAACCGTCCAAGGTACTTATTAACCATCCAAGGTACTTATTAACCATCCAAGGTACTTATTAACCATCCTAGGTATTTATAAACCGTCCAAGGTACTTATTAACCATCCTAGGTATTTATAAACCGTCCAAGGTACTTATTAACCATCCCAGGTACTTGTTAACCATCCAAGGTACTTATTAACCATCCCAGGTACTTGTTAACCATCCAAGGTACTTATTAACCATCCTAGGTACTTATTAACCATCCAGGTACTTATTAACCATCCAGGTACTTATTAACCATCCTAGGTATTTATAAACCGTCCAAGGTACTTATTAACCATCCTAGGTATTTATAAACCGTCCAAGGTACTTATTAACCATCCAAGGTACTTATTAACCATCCAGGTACTTATTAACCATCCAAGGTACTTATTAACCATCCAAGGTACTTATTAACCATCCAAGGTACTTATTAACCATCCCAGGTACTTGTTAACCATCCAAGGTACTTATTAACCATCCTAGGTATTTATAAACCGTCCAAGGTACTTATTAACCATCCTAGGTATTTATAAACCGTCCAAGGTACTTATTAACCATCCTAGGTATTTATAAACCGTCCAAGGTACTTATTAACCATCCTAGGTATTTATAAACCGTCCAAGGTACTTATTAACCATCCAAGGTACTTATTAACCATCCAAGGTACTTATTAACCATCCAAGGTACTTATTAACCATCCTAGGTATTTATAAACCGTCCAAGGTACTTATTAACCATCCTAGGTATTTATAAACCGTCCAAGGTACTTATTAACCATCCAGGTACTTATTAACCATCCAAGGTACTTATTAACCATCCAAGGTACTTATTACCATCCAAGGTACTTATTAACCATCCAGGTACTTATTAACCATCCAAGGTACTTATTAACCATCCTAGGTATTTATAAACCGTCCAAGGTACTTATTAACCATCCAGGTACTTATTAACCATCCCAGGTACTTGTTAACCATCCAAGGTACTTATTAACCATCCTAGGTACTTATTAACCATCCAGGTACTTATTAACCATCCAAGGTACTTATTAACCATCCCAGGTACTTGTTAACCATCCAAGGTACTTATTAACCATCCTAGGTATTTATAAACCGTCCAAGGTACTTATTAACCATCCAAGGTACTTATTAACCATCCAGGTACTTATTAACCATCCTAGGTATTTATAAACCGTCCAAGGTACTTATTAACCATCCAGGTACTTATTAACCATCCTAGGTATTTATAAACCGTCCAAGGTACTTATTAACCATCCCAGGTACTTGTTAACCATCCAAGGTACTTATTAACCATCCAGGTACTTATTAACCATCCAGGTACTTATTAACCATCCAGGTACTTATTAACCATCCAAGGTACTTATTAACCATCCTAGGTACTTATTAACCATCCTAGGTACTTATTAACCATCCTAGGTACTTATTAACCATCCTAGGTACTTATTAACCATCCTAGGTACTTATTAACCATCCTAGGTACTTATTAACCATCCTAGGTACTTATTAACCATCCTAGGTACTTATTAACCATCCTAGGTACTTATTAACCATCCTAGTTACTTATTAACCATACGAGGTACACATTAACCATCCTAGTTATTTATTAACCATCCAAGGTACTTATTAACCATCCTAGGTATTTATAAACCGTCCAAGGTACTTATTAACCATCCAAGGTACTTATTAACCATCCCAGGTACTTGTTAACCATCCAAGGTACTTATTAACCATCTAAGGTATATATTAACCATCCAAGGTACTTATTAACCATCCAAGGTACTTATTAACCATCCAAGGTACTTATTAACCATCCAAGGTACTTATTAACCATCCAAGGTACTTATTAACCATCCAAGGTACTTATTAACCTTCCATGGGGGGTTGCGAGGACTCAAAGAGGGGTGAGAAAACGAGGTATCCAAAGAAAATGGGTTTGATAGTCCGATATTTTAAGGGCACACTAATTAATTATGACCGGTAACTATGCGGTATGGTACTAGCCAGTTGTGCTTCTGGTTGTAAATACTGTTATCCGATGTGTTTATTCATATAGGTTTATTTATTTCCTCTCATGTTTTTTTTTCAGTTTTATTTGTTATTATTCCTGCTCTTAAGACATGACGCAACAATGAAGAAGCCACACTCACACACACACACATCCATCCATTCACACATACACACGCATATATATATATATATATATATATATATATATATATATATATGCAAACATACATATATATACACATACATACATATATATATGTATATATATATGTATATATATATATATTACATGCACTTTAATTTTCTTCTGTTTTTTCCTATTGATATTTTCCTCTTTAGACAATAAAAAAGTGACATCAATAAGACTCCGCCAATTAACCGTTCTGTTTTCTCCCCCCCCCCCCCTTCGCAGATATAGCTGTCGGCGCCCCGTTCCTGGACAGCGGCGGGAAAGTGTTCATTTACCAGGGATCGGCCGTTGGACTTGAGAAGACACCGAGCCAGGTAATAAAAATCTTTCACTTAAAACGCATTTTTAAACGAGAAAATAAATGTAAGCTAAGTAAATGTAAGCTCGCCTTCCGTCGTTTATAAACAAACCGTCACTTTTTTTTTCTTTCTTTTTTCAATGCAAAAAAATCTGATCCCGAAATATGCATTCAAAAATTTCCGTCCTTAATGAGATCGCGTGTGTGATCCACTATAACAGGGGAGGGAGGGGGGTTCTCAAAGTGGTCGATGGGACCATCCAAAAGGTCGATGGATAGCCAGGGGGTCGAAGGGGAGGTCGATGAATAGCCAGGGGGTCGAAGGGGAGGTCGAAGAGAAGCCAGGGGGTCGAATGGAAGGTCGAAGAAAGCCAGGGGGTCGAAGGGGAGGTCGATGAATAGCCAGGGGGTCGAAGGGAAGGTCGATGAATAGCCAGGGGGTCGAAGGGAAGGTCGATGGATAGCCAGGGGGTCGAAGGGGAGGTCGAAGAGAAGCCAGTGGGTCGAATGGGAGGTCGATGAATAGCCAGGGGGTCGAAGGGGAGGTCGATGAATAGCCAGGGGGTCGAAGGGGAGGTCGATGAATAGCCAGGGGGTCGAAGGGGAGGTCGAAGAGAAGCCAGGGGGTCGAAGGGGAGGTCGAAGAGAAGCCAGGGGGTCGAAAGGAGGTCGATGGATAGCCAGGGGGTCGAAGGAAGGTCGATGGATAGCCAGGGGGTCGAAGGAAGGTCGATGGATAGCCCCTGGGTCGAAGGAAGGTCGATGGATAGCCAGGGGGTCGAAGGAAGGTCGATGGATAGCCAGGGGGTCGAAAGGAGGTCGATGGATAGCCAGGGGGTCGAAGGGGAGGTCGATAAATAGCCAGGGGGTCGAAGGGGAGGTCGAAGAGAAGCCAGGGGGTCGAAGGGGAGGTCGAAGAGAAGCCAGGGGGTCGAAGGGGAGGTCGAAGAGAAGCCAGGGGGTCGAAAGGAGGTCGATGGATAGGCAGGGGGTCGAAGGAAGGTCGATGGATAGCCAGGGGGTCGAAGGAAGGTCGATGGATAGCCAGGGGGTCGAAGGAAGGTCGATGGATAGCCAGGGGGTCGAAGGGGAGGTCGAAGAGAAGCCAGGGGGTCGAAGGGAGGTCGATGGATTGCCAGGGGGTCGAAGGGGAGGTCGATGGATAGCCAGGGGGTCGAAGGAAGGTCGATGGATAGCCAGGAGGTCGAAGGGGAGGTCGATGGATAGCCAGGGGGTCGAAGGGAGGTCGATGGATAGCCAGGAGGTCGAAGGAAGGTCGATGGATAGCCAGGGGGTCGAAGGAAGGTCGATGGATAGCCAGGGGGTAGAAGGAAGGTCGATGGATAGCCAGGGGGTAGAAGGAAGGTCGATGGATAGCCAGGGGGTCGAAGGGGAGTTCGATGAATAGCCAGGGGGTCGAAGGGGGGATCAGTGAATAGCTAAGGGATCGAAGGGGAGTTCGATGAATGATTATTAGGGGTCGAGGGGGCCATTCAAGCCTCCGCAGTTTTAAATTCTCGATGCTAATTTATCCGTTAGCCAGGGGGTCGAAGGAAGGACGATAGATAGCCAGGGGGTCGAAGGAAGGTCGATGGATAGCCAGGGGGTCGAAAGGAGGTCGATGGATAGCCAGGGGGTCGAAGGAAGGACGATAGATAGCCAGGGGGTCGAAGGGAGGTCGATGGATAGCCAGGGGGTCGAAGGAAGGTCGATGGATAGCCAGGGGGTCGAAAGGAGGTCGAAGGGGAGTTCGATGAATGATTATTAGGGGTCGAGGGGGCCATTCAAGCCTCCGCAGTTTTAAATTCTCGATGCTAATTTATCCGTCTACGTCCCTTGTTGTATGTCCAAATCTCTCTATGCATACAGGTCGCACCAATATTGTCCATGAACTGATTATTATGACTTGAAGTTGAAAATTGTGTGAAGTGGACATAATGGCTGCTGTATCTTCTTCATTATACTTGTATTTAAACTACTACTACTACTATTCATATTGATTGTATTATCATGGTTCCTTGTTCTCTCCTTGAATTAAAAGCTGTACTATAACGATGGTAAAGAGTAATACTAGTGTGGGTGAATAAATAGGAGGATTGAACAGTAGGTTAGAGCATTTGAATTCACGATTTAATAAGTAACTAGTTGGATGATTGCATGATGAATGATGCCAGTGAATTTGTCGTTACAAATTAACACAATAAAGCCGACTTGGGAAATGTATCTAAAGGAAAATAAACAAACGAGAAAAAGCGAATAGCCGTAAGTGCAAACCAAATAATTTTCCCAAGTCGGCTTCATGTGACGTTTTCCACATTCAGGTAATAGACGCCATGGCGATGGACTCGTCCGTTCGTCCGCTCAAAGGCTTCGGTTTCGCCATCGCTCAGAAGATGCCCGGCGAAGGGAGAAAGGGCTTTGATGTTGGAATCGGAGTCTTCAATTCGGATAAAGTTTTAGTGTTCAAGTAAGTGTTAGAGAAGTAAATAAATATTCATAGCGCTTTTATTTCGCATTCACTACTAGGTGTTGTCAGTGATTAAAAAAAAAAAAACTCAGTGTTTCACCTTGCTTTGCTAAAGTTAATGTTTATTAAGTTAAGAAAAAAAAAACAAGACTCAGACATTTGCAAATGAAATATCGACTAATTACAATTGAAACGATTCGTTTATAGGACGAAAGAAGTAATTACGGTGGAATGGAACGTGACTTTCGATGAGAAAATGGATCTTACCAGCGACACCTGCTACTATACAGGTTCGGATATGCCAGTAGGAAGATATCCCTGTGTTGTGATGGAAATTTGTTTCCTTTATCGAGTCACGAACGCCAAGACGAAGACGAAGCAGGCTTTGGGTAAGTAAAGTCGTTATCATTTTCAGTGTAGATTGAGTGGAAAAAGTGGGTATGTTTATGTGAGCATGGCACACGTACACGCACACGCACACGCATACCCCCCCCCCCCACACATACATACATACACATACCTACATATATATATAATTTGTATATAAATGTATTTGTATTTATGTATATGTTACGGTAATCTGCGTGGTATATATGCATTTATTTCTCTATCTACATCCATGTGTTTGTCTATTCATCTTTCTATCTGTATCGAATATGAACTCATTTGATTTTCGTTCTGAAATGGCATTCATTTTTTAACTAAGAAACCTATAACTGTTGCCATTGTTTTTGTACCCTTTTTCCTCACAGAGTTTATCATGAAACTAGAAGCAGATGTTAAGCAGCAGGAGAATCGACTGTTTTTTGAAAACGCTCGCTCTAAGATGAATCTGACATTTAGCGTCGAAAAGGACAATCTATCGTGCCAGGAGATAGATGTGTTGGCCAAGGTAGGTGTTGAAAGAAGTCAAGTCTGTGTGTATATATATGTATATGTATACACAAACACACGCACACACATATATGTATATATATATATATATATATATATATATATATATATATATATATATATATATATATATATGTATGTGTGTGTATATGTATGTGTATGTATATATATGTGTGTTTGATTGTATGTATATATATATACACATACATATATGTATCTGTGTTTGTGTATCTATCTATATCTATATCTATATATACATTATATATTTATGTATTTTGTGCGCGCGCGCAGTGTGTGTTTGTTTATGTATGATTATACCTTAGTGCTAGTATATGTACACGCACGCACGTATGAACCTGAGCTTCAGTCAGAAAAGCAGACCTCGTAACATGCACGTTCAACTTCCCGTTTACAGAAGGACATCAGGGAGCTAATTCAGCCCTTTGTTATACGAACTGAAGTTGCTATGAAGGAAGAAGCGTCGCAGTCAGTATGTATACGTGTCTGTAGTTCTTTAAACAAAAAGAGAAAAGGAAAAGGAGAGATAGAAGGAAATAAAGACAATTTTGGCAAAAAAAAAAAAGTGTACCGTTCTGATTCTGAAAATAATCCATGTTTATTAGCCTTTAAGCATAGTTGAAAATATGACAGATCATTAACCCATTCGCGCCGGGTAAAAATGAACAAAAAACGGGGGAAAATTCTGTGCTCATTTCTTATACTTTTTATGAAATTTTTCTACACTAGATGGCTCTGCCTTACCTGATTTCATTTGGCGGGAAAATGTATTTTTACTAGTACAATGAATATCGATGGTTATTTTTATTATAAACATTATAATTACTATAATGTTAGTAACAGCAAAGTAAGATAAAGTATAATATTTTCGTAAATTAAAGAAAAGGGTAAACAGGCGAGACAGGCAGTACAAGTACAAGTGCAGCCATCTATGTTAAAAAACAATTAAACAAGTAAACTCACAGTGGGCCCGTCACATATATGGGACACCCGGCGTGAATGGGTTAAAGGTTTTAATGCGATTAAAAGCCAATTAGTATTGTTATTGTCGTAATTTTTATGATTATGATAACTATAATGATAATGATATTGGTGATGATATATATCATTGGTGTCATTATTATAATTACTATTATGATTATGACAATTATAATAATAATAATGATGCTTGATGATGATGATGATGATGAAGATTATCATCATCGATATTATTATCATGATTATTACCATTATTATTATTATTATTATTATTATTGTTGTTTTGTTGTTGTTGTTGTTGGTATTATTATTATTATTGTTATTATTGTTATTATT